TCCTGAGACAATACAGAAAGACACATCAGATCCATGACGTATCCTGCAGCGTGAGTCTCAGCGGGGCATGAGGGCTCTTTGTCGTTTGGTTGAAAAATATATTCTCAATTTCGTTGAAAGTCCAGATGATCAGATCCATGACGGTAGTTTACATTTTGGAAGATGTGTAACAGGAACTCCGATACACAGACAGAGAGCAAAAAAGCAGGAGGGGGACGGGAGAGGGAAGAAGAGCGTCTGTCTTGCACGAGAGCGAGTGGTGAAAAAAACAATTAACAAAAGTCTAGACAGGAAGACACGGTTAACAAAATTTTTAATTTCAACTTCCAAAAATTACAATATTGAGAAAATTAACAGCATCAAAAACCACTTTAAAACTTTACCTATTCACATATTGAACATAATAAATGTTTTACCGCTTCTTTGACTTATTACAGAAAGCTCGCGGACCCCCTGGGATCCAGGGACCCCAGTTTGAGAACCACTGTTTTATAGGACATGTACTGCCTCTTTTCATTTCAGTGGGCCGGTTTTATCCATGATCAGTATAAACTTGCTTCCTGTCTAGACTTTTTTCACAATAAGAGCTGACTGATGTCAGTGCTCATTTTCTGCAGTCTTTGTCGCTTTTTGTAAGGACTGTGAATGTCGTCTGACTTCAGGGGGCGGGTCTTATTCTTTGCTGATAGAAACGAGCTTCCTATGTAGTATTTTCAGAATAAGAGCCTCTGTTAGATCTTCATACCCTCTCATTTCCTGCAGCCTTCTTCCTCTTCGTCACTCTGGCCGTCATGTCTGTTCTGCTGCTGGCAACACTCGTCATCTTCACGCTGAGACGTCACCGCCTGTCCCGCCGCTCTTCTGCCAGGTAATGATGTGATGTCAGCGGCGCCCCCTTTAGGTTGAGCGCGTCACATGACCACCTGCTGACGAGCACACCTGTCCAGGTGAACACCTGTCACTGAAACCTCTCTTCCTGTCTCACAGCGATAAGCAGGAGCTGCTTCCAGAATCAGATGACCTGTCCTCTCTGGACTCCATGACCATCCATGAGCCCCCCAAACCAGAACCAACGGCCTGATGGTGGGGGGTCACAGACCCAAGCAGGGTCCAGCTCAGAACTGATCCTTTTCAAAGGTTCTTCCTGAAATTAAATGATTGTATTTAATGCAGCATCTGAACGCTCCAGGATCTGTCTCTGATCACTTTTATTGATCACTTATTGATCAGTTGAACTTCAAGTTAAAGGTTAACCTGAACCTGGATCTACTCTGTCCAAATCAATAAATGGTAAAAGCCAGAACTTGACATTATTATTATTATTATTAACAATAATAATAATAATAATAATAATTTAAAAATGTTTGTTGTTTGTTTGTTTCCTGAATTGATCAGGTTCTGGTTTCCTGTCTGAAAGTCACTGATTTACTCCAAGTAGAGTATCTGACTGGCTGAAGCCCATTATTGATTGGTGATTAGTGAGCTGATCAGCTGACAGATCTAAGAGTTTGATAAACTACACATTTGTTTTTGTTCTTTAAATGATATAAATGAAGTTGCTTTGATAATTCATCAGTCAGATTTTATATTGATTACCTATTGATGGAAGTGTAGGGGATGAGTTAAAGCTGTAATCTTTGTATTGATCAACCAAAAGCTTTCAGACTGCAGGTGAAACAGATCAAATAATTTTTCAAATCACAATTTTCCCATGATGCACCTGTCTGACTCCCTCTGCAGGCTGAAGCCTGAGTGGTACTGATCACTTTTATTGATTATTGACCCTCCTGCTGCCCTTGGGTCAAAGCGACCCACAAGGCCTCAGTCAGTTCTGAGGTTTTGTGGGTCTCACACTCGGACAGCAGGAGGGTCAAAGGGGATTTTTTTAAACTGTTTTTATTTGTTGTCTAAATAAACTTATTTCCTCTAAAAAGATGTTTTACTGTGATCAATAACTTAAGCAGATGGTTAATCAATACTAGTGAATAGGTACAAATCAGGGGAACAAACTAAAGCGCTTTATTTTGTTTACTTTAAATTTTAATATTTAGATCTTCAGTTTATTGATCACTTTTATCTCTTCATACTAAATATTCATTGTGATCGGTTGAATTTTAATGATGATTATTTTTCTCTGAACCAATAAATCAATAAATGATTGTTTTCAACCAGACTCCTCATTTACATCCTGTAAATACTTTTAGAAAAATTCCTAAATTTTCTCGATGCTGAGGTTAAGACGTTTTTGTTTAATGGGAATTGGAAAATATTTTGAATTATTTTTTTTTTTTTTTTTTTTTTTTTTAAGAAAACCTTTTTTGCTCCTAAAAAATAAAAATAAAGTTTTTGATCTGGCATTCTTCAAAAAATTACTGTGAAGTTCAACTTTGTGAATATACTGTTTAAACTCCTTTAGCCCCTGAAGCTACACATGTACATTTTAAATAAAGATTACGTGTTTAAACCTGAACTACATGATCAATAATCACTGATGATTCTGGACATTTTGTTAAAATCAAAACTACAAAATTAATGAAAGCAGGATACAAAAAGGAAACCGGTTTGGAAAATAAACGTATCTGAGGAAGAACTTTAAACCCGTTTGTGTTTTTAGAGCAACAGTTTCATCTGAACTGAAGAACTGAACCGGTTTAAATTCGTTCTCAGGTTGAACGCCTCCTTCGGATCGGGCGGGGAGTCGCGTATCTGAGCTTCTTGTTCATCAGTGATGGGATGAACTGGGAGATGGATCAACGGATTGGGGCCTCGTCCTCAGTAATGAGGGTGTTGCTTTGGTCAGCTGAGTTGAAAGGCAGATCTATTAACTGGTCTGTCTTTGTACCAAACTCCACCTGTGGTCATGGGGTTTGGATCATGACCGAAACTGGATACAAGTGGCCGAAATGAGCTTCCTTTGCAGGGTGGCCAGGCTCAGCCTTGGAGATAGGAGGAGCTCCGTCATCTTGGGGGCGGAGCTTGGAGTTGAGCCGCTGCTTCTCTACTTTGAAAGAAGTCAATTGAGATGGTTCGGTTGTCCGGGCACACCCCACAGGTAGAAGGCCCCTGGGACGACCCAGAAAATATTGCGAGGGATGGTGTATCTTCTCTGGCTTGGGGTCCTCCAGGACCAGCTATAAAGTGTTGCTGGGAAGAGGGTTGTGTGGGTTTCTGTCCTGGAGCTGTTGCCTCTGTGACCCAAGTACAGGTAAGAGGTAGAAGATGATGAAGAAAATATTCAGCCCATCCATGTGAATAAAAAACGAAAAGGGCAGGGAGGAGGATTCAATGATCAGGAGGTGGAGCTATGGGTCTGAGAGGCGGGACCAATTGTCCAGGAGGTGGGGCCAGTGGTTTGAGGCGTAGAGGTAGACAAGGTCATGGTGGAGCTAGGGTCAGTGAGTATGAGGAAAAAATTCAAGAGGAGGAGCCAATGGTTGGTAAGGAGGGGGCGTGTGAAACGCGATGGATCAGACAGGAGGAGTCAAGTGTCAGGGAGGAGGGGCCAATGATCAAGAGTTACTGTCCTCTTTGGTGGATGTTGGTGAAATGCAAACTAGGTGTATAAATGTCCCCGCAATTCATTCAACCTTTATTTAAGCAGGTCAATCCCATTGAGCCTCGGCGACTCATTTACAAGAGACGTGATTTTAACAAAGCGTGATGACAACAGTGGATAATCATAAAAGATGTATTCAAATTGAGTTTTTTTTTTTTTAACAAGTGAAAAATAAAATGGTATTCAAAAGAAAATGTAACAACAAACGGCTAGATCATAGGGCGGTGTAGATGATTGGAACAAAAAAGAAATGTTAAAAGTTGCTTTTATTTTGAGTCTTTTTATTGAACAATTGTGAATTCTTTGTTTAAAACGGGTTTCTCTTGTAAATGAGTCCTCGAGGCTCAGTGAGACTAGCCTGCAGAAATAAAGGTTGAATGGAATGTAAAAAATGACTGTGATCCCCGATGTGACCGCATGGAGCGCCATAGAGCCAATTTTCACCAGCAAGAAACAACGCGAAGCAGCAAATTGTGATGACGTCACTGCACCGCTTCCTCCCGGAAGTGTTAGTCAAAGCCAAAATGGCGCAAGGCGGAGAGCTGCAGCAGCAGCTGGAATCGGTTCGAAATATAAACGGAACCGTTACCCGTCCAGAACCGTGAGGGATCCCTGTTCGGTGACCGGAAACAAACGGAGAAGAACTGCCAACCCTCGGGGCGCTCGCGGACTCTGTGAGTGACGTCACTTCATCGTTTTTATGGGGGGGGGCGGATCTCCGCAGCTAACATGCTAATGCTAACGTGTTGAGTCACTGTAATTTACCGGGAATTTACCGGCAGCTGTAGTGTGAAGAACCCGGCTCAGTCTGTTAGCAGCTGATGCTAACTGTCTGGAGAAGTGACATGGTGGTTCTGGTTCTGACCCGCCGCGCTTCTTCCCTGCTGTACGGATTGGAGGACAGGTGAGCTCCACCTGAGTGATCACGTGTTTGTTTCATCAGCTGCTATAAACATTTGTGTTTAATGATTTTAATAAGCGCAGCTTCACGTGATCTCTGGGTTTCCGTGGTTCATAGACCGTACTTTGTTCATGTCGGTCTCAAGAACCGGTTCCAGGAACCAGAACTCATTGCTTTCCTGATTCCTCAGTCCCACCTTTTCCAACACAGGAATCTAGAGCTAACAGTCTGAGTCCGGGTGCCCCCAAGAGTCAGGGGTCCCAGGGGGGGCTGTCCAGGGTCCTTAAAGCAAACTGGGTTACTACTGGTTCCTGTCTCAGTGACCTCAGTCTGATCTCTAAAAGTAAGACCGGATTATTTTGTGGAACGCTTGTTGTTGTTTACATTAATAAACACAAAATGTAAACAGAACTTCTGCCCAGAACAGGTCCAACTGCATCAGCTGGGTCAGGTCAAGAAAACAGACCAAGAAAATCAAACAATGACATTTCATCTCAGAGTAATTGACAGTCAATCAATCACCTAAGCTTTTATTTACATTTCGAATGCTAATTTTATTTTACCGTAACATCTGCTGATCAGAGCCACCAGACCTGGTCTCTGATTAAAAAAAATAAAATAAAAAAGCTCTGAATTGAAAATAGTGATTTCATTGGTTGAACTCAGAGAAACTGATCTGATTGGTTGTGATTCTAGAGCAGTGGGCGTGGCCTTCGAAAGAAACCGTTCTGATTGGTTGTTCAGGAGGTGATGGAGTGGAAGAGACACATCTCAGAGCAGCTGAAGCTCAGAGACCGAATTCAGAGACAAACATTCGAGGAGATCGTCCACCAGTGTGAGTCAGACGCGCACACACCCACACACAGAGAAGACACACACAAATTACACACACAGAGGACACAAAATTGATCAATGTTGGTTGTTTCAGACAATCGTCTCCTGGAGAGATCGGACCTGCAAACCGTCCTCACAGAGAGATACCAGACAGACAAATATGATGTCCAAAGGGGACATGAGGCCGGGTGAGACATTGGGGATGGACAAAGACTAATGAAGACATTCTGACTGTCCTAAATCAGATCAGTTTGTCCACAGTGACACATTCTCTAACACTGTTCCTGGTCCTGTCCCCTCAGACCGGTGGACTCGACCCTGCAGCAGGAAATGGCTCAGATGAGGATTCGCCATCAGGAGGAGCTGACGGAGCTGCACAAAAAACGAGGAGAGGTCAGTCACAGGAAGTCACGTCATCATCCACACCTGTCCTGTCGGGGGGGCATAGTGACGAAAGGTGACGTGTTCCAGGGATTTTAGGACTGAATGTCTCTTGTTGTGCAGCTGGCTCAGAGTGTGATCGAGCTCAACAACCAGATCCAACAGAAGGACAGAGAGATCCAGAGCAATGAGGCCAGGTGAGGGAACACACACACCTGAGCAGAGGCGATCACCTGCAGCAGCCGATAACCTGTGGTCCTGTTTCAGGATGTTGGAATATCAGCAGCAGGTCTCCAGCCTGGAGGGAGACTGTCGGGAGCTGAGGAACAGCCTGCAGGTACGTCCACCTCACCTAGACTCAGGTGCTCTCACCCGATGAAGGTCAGTGATGAGGAGTAAAAGGTCTGATCGCCCACAATCCTCTGCTGCCTCTGGCTCCCAGCAGCTCGCTCTCTGCTCCCATCATGCTCCAGTGATGCAGCAATGGGTCCAGCAGCTGCTGACACACAGGATGTGACATCACACAGGATGTGACATCATAGAGAAGCTGCTCTGAGACTCTACAGCCTCTCTGTGATGATGTTTGACATCCAACACAACCAACCTACATGGAGCCTAAAGAGGAGGAGGAGGAGGGAGCTGATCTCAAGTTTTCAACCTGAGACCTTCATCCGTTTGAGAGCAGTCAGCTGACCTGATCATGTGACTGTAGCAACTTCCTGTGTCCTTGGTCACATGACCACAGCAACTTCCTGTTTTCCCGCAGGAGCTGGAGCAGGCCAATCAGACGCTGAAGGACGAGTATGACGCCCTGCAGATCACCTTCTCAGCTCTGGAGGAGAAACTGAGGAAGACCACAGAGGACAACCAGGAGCTGGTGTCCCGCTGGATGGCTGAGAAGGCTCAGGAGGCCAACCGACTAAACGCAGAGAATGAGAAGGACAGCAGGTGGGCAGAGCCTCTGTGGTAACAGATGTTGGGGTCTTTGTGGCGTGGGTCTCTGATGTGATGGCGGCCGTTTGTGTTCCAGGCGCCGACAGGCCAAACTGCAGAAGGATCTGGCTGACGCCGCCAAGGAACCGCTCCCCATCGAGCCGTCAGTGACTCTTCCTCTGGGTTCTGTTTGATCCAGAGCTGAGTCCGGGTCTGAATGTGTGTGTCCTCCTCTTCAGGGACGACGACATTGAGGTGCTGGCTGAGGACGGAGGGAACGGAGCAGGAGAGACATCCCCCAACCGGCCGATGGGCAAGACTCTGAGGTGAGTCTGCAGGTGATCTGTGATGCAGAGTTCAGTTCAAGATGTTCCTGAAACCAGTGTGAGATCATCCTGGGATCAGGCTCGCAACATTTGAAGATTATCCTGAATTCATTGTGAAACTGTTTTGAAATAATCTGAATTCAGTTTGACATCATTTCCTGAATTATCCCGGGTCAATCTGAATCGGTCTGCAGTCCAAACGCTGATCGAAGTCCACAGAAGGTGACAGGTCCTCTGCAGAGGCTGTTCCGTCCCACGGTTCAGTTCTGCCGGTCAACTCAGTGGCGTCCTCCTGGTCCAGTCCCGCGGGTCGTCCTTGTGATTCTGTTGTGCAGTGTTTTAAAACGTGTGTGTCTCACAGCAGGAAGACATCCCAGCCGCCTCCCGCTGGACTTCTCGACTCCATCTCTAACATGTTTGGGTATGTATCTGACAGGTTCTGTGTTCCATGTTCTCCAGGGGTTGGTTTGTGTTCTCCGTGTTGAAACGGACCACGAGGCAAAAAAAATCATGTTGGGAACAGAAGAAGAGCCGTAAACTGCCAGCCCTGATAAACAAGGAACGTTACTTCATTAAACCAGCTGTAGTTCCTCTGCATATGAACTGCGTCGGTTCCTCTTGGTTCCTAATCACTTTGTGAACTCTTCTTCTTCCTCCTCTTCCTCAGCAGGCGTCGATCTGCCAACTCCTTCAGCACATCGCCAGATCCCACCGAGACGCCTTCAGGAGTGTGCGCAGAGGTCCGAGTGCCGTCCACAGCGCTGCATGTGTTTGTGAGTATCCGGTGAAGAGTTTCAGCTGCAGTCGGTACCAGCTGATGTCGAGACGCATCCAAACATGAAGAGGTTCTGTTCGAAGCCCGGTTTGGTCCGAGGTCGGACACAACGTCAGCTGCTCTGAAACCTGTTTGTGTTTCTGCCATCAGGAAGCCCATGACGGTGAGGTAAACGCTGTGAGGTTCAGCCCCAGTTCCCGTCTCCTAGCAACAGGAGGGATGGACCGCAGGGTGAAGCTGTGGGAGGTGGTCGCAGGTGAGTTACACGCACACACCTGTCCATGCTGCCACTCACATCTGAAGGTCAGTGATGAGGTGTAAAAGGTCTGATCGCCCACAATCCTCTGCTGCCTCTGGCTCCCAGCAGCTCGCTCTCTGCTCCCATCATGCTCCAGTGATGCAGCCATGGGCCCAGCAGCTGCTGACACACAGGATGTGACATCACAGGGAGGCTGCACTGAGAACCTGCAGTCTCTCTGTGATGATGATTGACATCCAACACAGCCAATCAGATCGGAGCGTCGGGCAGGAGAGGAGGAGGGAGCTGATCTCAAGTTTTCAGTCTGAGACCTTCATCAGAGAAATAATCCGAGTACGGGCTTGCAGTAATCCGAGTACAGCCATAAAGTAATAGAAGAACATGGTAATCTGAGTACAGCCATAGAGTAATAGAAGTGTGGGCACAGAGTAATCTGAGTAAGTATGTGGAGTAATCAGAGTACATAACCAAATGTTTATCACAGCAGCAAGTTTTATGTTTGTGATGTTGCAAATCTTATAAATTAAATCATCTTTTGTTTCGTGATTCAAAGTTAATTTCAACCAATCGGATCACAACAACGTTAAACCGACCAATGAGGAAGCTGATGCTGATTCTGTCTCGTCCAATCAGGATGCAGGATTGTCTAAATGAAACAGCTGTGACTCTTAGACAACAGAACAAGAACTCACAGAAAACCTGTGCGTGCGTGTGTTCAGGTCGCTGTGAGGCTAAAGGTGCGCTGACCGGCAGCAACGCTGGAATCACCAGCATCGAGTTCGACAGTGCTGTGAGTCCTCAGTTACTATGATTGTTTGCTGTTGTTGTTTACCTGCTTGTTGTTTACCTTTTCGTGTGTCAGGGATCCTACCTGCTGGCTGCCTCCAATGACTTTGCCAGTCGGATCTGGACCGTGGATGACTACAGACTGAGGGTGGGTTCTGGTGTCAGCAGTTCTCTGAGCTTTAGTTTCTGCGGTCAGGTGACCTCTGACCTCACCTCTCTTTTGTGTTTGCACCTGCAGCACACCTTGACGGGTCACAGCGGGAAGGTGCTGTCCGCTCGCTTCCTCTTGGACAACGCCCGCATTGTGTCGGGGAGCTACGACCGCACGCTCAAACTGTGGGACCTGCGCAGCAAAGTCTGTACGTGGTTGGTCAGGGCCTGCAGGTGTGATGGTATCGCTGACCTCTGACCCATGACCTTTGACTTCACCTGTGCAGGTATGAAGACTGTGTTTGCTGGCTCCAGCTGTAATGACATTGTGTGCACGGAGCAGTGCGTCATGAGTGGACACTTCGATAAGAAAGTCCGGTTCTGGGACATCAGGTGGGTTCTGATCCTTGATGGACTGCTGAGGTTCTGATTATTGATCAGTGTGTGTCCTGTCCGGCGCTGCTGATTATCGGATCGTTATAAAGGAGGAACTCACCTGGATAATGTGTTTGTGTGTGTCGGGCAGGGCAGAGAGCATCGTACGGGAAATCGAGCTCATGGGTCGGGTGACGTCTCTGGACCTGAACCACGACCGCACCGAGCTGCTCACCTGTTCCAGAGACGACCTGCTGAAGATCATCGACCTGCGCACCAATGCCGTCCGGCAGACCTTCAGGTGAGTTCACCTGGCTCTGACAGGAAGCTCTGAACACCTGAGGCAGGAACCAAACTTGTTCCTGGAGCTCAAACAGGAAGTTAAACAGAATGTCTTACTTGTTGTTTACGTTGTTGTAATCCACACACAAACACCTGAAGTTCAGAACATCTTTACAAACTATAAAACGTGAGTTGCTGTTCTTCCACTTGGTCTCTTGAACATGTATACCATCTACCTTCCTTCTCAGCATCATGTCAGCCAGCTCTCCACCCTTGCCTGTCATTGTCCCCACATTTAGAGTTGCAGCCCTCAGTCCTACATTCTTCACTTTCCTCTTCTCCTCTGTCTCATGACACGTTTCCCTCCTCGTGGTCTTCCACTAACAGCAGCACAGTTTCCACCAGCACCCCGTTTGTCAACAGCAGCGGTGGCGGTCGTTGTTAACCCGGGCCTCGACTGATCCGGTCTGGTGTTGCCTTGATAAACTCGCAGTGAAGTTTTGGCAAGTGCTTTACGTGGGATGCTCTTCCTGACACAACCCTCACCATTTACCCGAGCTTGGGACCAGAACCAGAGATCCACTGGCTGGTGCTCCCTGGTGGCTGGGTTGCCCTCAGCTCCTCTCAGTTACAAATACAGTGGTGCTTAAAGTTTGTGAACTCTTTAATTTTCTATATTTCTGCATCAGTTTCACCTAAAACATCATCAGATTTTCACACAAGTCCTAAAAGTAGATCCAGAGAACCCAGTTCATCAAATGAGACTAAATATTAAACTTGGTCATTTATTTATTGAGGACAATGATCCAATATTACAGATTAGTGGTAAAAGTATGTGAACCTTTGCTTTTAGTACCTGGTGTGACACCCCCCCCCAGTGCTTTTAGTCCATTCCTCCGTACAGAACAGCTTCAACTCTGGATGTTGGTGGTTTCCTCACATTAACTGCAGCTTCAGGTCCTTCCACAACATCTGGATTGGATGAAGGTCAGGACTTTGACTTGGTCATTCCAGAACATGAACTTTGTTCTTCTTGACCCGTTCTTTGGTAGAACCACTTGTGTGCTGAGGGTCATTGTTGCTGCATGACCCACCTTCTCTTGAGGTTCAGTTCATGGACAGATGTTCTGACATTTTCCTTCAGAATTCTCTGATATCATTCAGAATTCATTGTTCCATCAATGATGGCAAGAAGTCCTGGTCCAGATGCAGCAGAACAGACCCATACCATGATACTAACACCACCATGTTTCACAGATAGAATAAGCTTCTTCTGCAGGAATGATGTTCTCCTTTCTCCAAACATTTATTTATTTATTTATTTATTTATTTTCATTGACACTCTATTCATGCAGGTTTGTCTCCTTGACACACAATTGTCTTGTTTGCAATAAAGTAAATTAAATCAATGTAAATTAGTTTACATTAATCAAATAAACGGGGTGGCAGCCATGTTTTTCCATGCTGAATAAACGTTTTGTCCATTTCAGAGACTGGTGGACACACAGGAAACTGGCGTTCAGAGAAATTACCAGTGACTTGTAACATATGTTTGTGTGTTCAGTGCTCAGGGCTTCAAGTGCGGAGCTGACTGGACCAGAGTCACCTTCAGGTGAGTTTTTCTTCTGCAAGTCAAAGATCCAGATGTGGTTCTGGTTCTGTCTGAAACCAACCATCAGTCTGTTTGTGTCAGTCCTGACGGCAGTTACGTGGCTGGAGGATCAGCCGAAGGAACTCTGTACATCTGGAACGTCCTGACGGGGAAGGTGGATCGAACTTTGGACCGACACCACAAGTAAGAGCTGGTCTGGTTCTGGTTGTGAATAGCGTTAAAAATTAGGTGCAGCTTGACCTTTGACCTCTTGTGTGCAGCTCTGCCATCAACTCAGTGTCGTGGTCGCCGTCGGGAACATACGTCGCCAGCGTGGAGAAGGGCAGCAAGGCCATTCTGTGGTCTGACATGTGATAGGCTGGAGACAAGTGGGCGGAGCCATCGTCTTTGTTGAACGGCGCTCTGAAGCTGCTGAGGAAATGGGTGGAGCTTTTAATGTTCGGTGTCGTTTTAACTGTGACAGTAGAAGGAGCTCGCTCTGCACGCCGTCTGATTGTTAAAGTTTTATTGACAGCTGACGCTGAGCTGAACACTAAAGAGTGGCAAAGAGAAGGACCTGAAACAGGAAGTACTTCACAATAAAAGTTTCTGAGCCTCATATGTCAGTTGGACCCAAAACAGGAAGTACTTCATAAAGTGGTTCAGGATGTTCTGGGATTAAAAACGAGTTTGAGATGTTTTTATCTGAAAGTGTGTAACAGACACACACCAACGAAACACTAATGTGTCTGGAACCTGATGTGCCTCTGAGCCAACCAATCAGAGCAAAGCTTCAGTTCTGACCAATCAGAGGCCAAGAAGGCTTAACGCCTGCCACCTTTCCTGCCAGAGACCCAAACAAAAATCTGTTTAAAAACCAACAAAACTTGTCAACGTATCGTTACACGAAGTATCAATGTCTTATGAAATCGCTCAGTCTGTTTGGAATGACCCTCAGCTACTACCACACTGGATTTTAGCTGGATATCTTTAGAATTCACTGAAAATCCATTGTTTGGTTTGATTTGGCTGCGGCGACATCAGATTAAAAAACAAATGTCTGTTTCGGATAACTTGAAATGAACGCTTGTGGTTCAACAAACTGTTTCTGTCAATCAGTAATCCGTCACACAAGAAGTGGGCGTGGCCTCATTGATTGGTTTTCTTGATCAGATTGTTTGTTAATTTGGGACCTTAGTGCCAGATGGTGCTTTTCAGTGAAACTGCAGATTAGTGACTCCATGTTCGGGTGACGGCGGCCATGTTGTCCAGCAATCTGCTGGAGATGTGTTTTTATTTAATGTATGTTGCTGCAAGGCATTGTGGGAAGGTGTGATTTTGTGTATGAAGGAGATGAGGGTAAACTGAGGAAGAGGCGGAGCTTAGGTGATCCTGGGCAGGTCATTATTGAAGCTGTGCTCTGATTGGCTGTTAGGTCTGTCACTCATTAACCCCCAGAGAGTGACAGGAAGTCCTGGTGGATCCTGCAGGTGAGTTCTGATCCAGAAGCAGCAGAGATGAATCTGATCAGCTGATTGATCCAAATAAAACCTGTTTACCCTCAAAGTCCATGTGTGTTTGTTGCTTCAGGTTCAGAGGTTCTGGGACCAAAAACCAGAAGCCAGTTCTGAGGAGGCAGAATGTTTTGGTCCTGGTGGGATTATGATCCGAGATGTCCTGGTTCAGCTGCTGTCAGCGCTCAGACTGCTGACTCTGTCAGAGCTGATCGGATCAGAGACTCCACCTGACCAGTGGTCAGACTGCTGACCGCTAAATTATAAAATGAAGTTCTTGCAGCTAAAACCAACAAGAAGCTAAATGTTAGCTCAAAGCCTAAAGTGGAAAAATGCTAACTAAATGTGGCCAAAGGCTAGCTAAAAACAAAGTTGTAGCTAAATTCAAAAGAAGCTAAATGTTAGCTAAAAACTAAGTTAACTAGCTAAGAAGAAAACACTAGCTATAACCAAACGGAAACAAAATGTTAAATAAATAGCAAATAGCTAAATGTAGCAAAAAGCTAGCTACAACAACACATTGGCTAAATGTATCCAAGATTAGCTAAAAACTAAATAGTGAAAATAACAATTTTCAGTCTGGTCATTGGACTTTTTTTTTTTTTTTCTGAAACGTTTCACCTTCCATCCAGAAGGCTTCATCAGTGAAGAAAACACACAACAAAAATAACACCAACATAACTGGTTTGTTCCACTTTGGAGTAATCTGTTGGGGGAAGAACCATTTTTGTTGTGTGTTTCCTTGACTGACGAAGCCTTCTGGATGGAAGGTGAAACGTTTCAGCAAAAAAAGAAACTGTCCAGATGACCTGGCTGAAAAATGTTGGATTGTATACCTGGATTATTGAGCATGGACCTTTTGGTATTTAACAAAATGCTAACTAAAAGCAAAAAATATGTAAAGTAGTAACAAGCAAAACACTGGCTAAAACCAAAAAGGAGCAGCTAAAAGAAGTTTAGCTGTTAGTAGCAGAATGCTATTCTAAAAGTGGAATGATACTAGTAGCTAAAAGTAGCTTAAGAAAACACAAAACAGCCAGAAAATGGAGCCGATTTTTAAAAGAATTAAGTTTTTGAAGGAAATGAAGCAATTATCTCAGTGTACTTTTAGGTGAAGGTAAAAGTTAAATACTTTGAAAAGTATAACATTTTCAAAAACTAAAAGTCACAGCTCCTAAATGAGCCGAATGTTTTGATATGAACGGCTAAAATAACACAAAATGACACATTCGTGCTGTTGACTGATGGAAAGTTCCGACTGTTTGCTGGAGCTGCAGATCTGCAGGATTAGAGTAATGATCAGCCTGCTGCGTGTGCACAGATTATAAATACACCTGATCAGCTGCTGAGTCTTCATCACCTTCGTCATCACTGCAGCTGCTGCTTCAGGTCAGTCTGTTTTCATGTTTCTTCTGATTTTACCTGGAAACTCAGCGGCTGTCTGTGGTGGATCAGAACCATTCCACTGAGTCATTCTCAAACAGAAACTAAAAGTTAAAGCTGTGACTGGTTCCAGTTCCACAGAGGTTCAGGGTCAGCCATGAGCTGCTGATCAAATGTATTGATTAATCATCAATCAGATCACCTCTATAAAAGCAGGTGCTTTTGCTGCTCTGGAGCTGACAGGTGTGTGTTAGCACAATGTCAAGATGGAAAGACATCAGGTCAAAGGTTATGGTTTGTTTGGAAGGGCTGCAGGAGGAAGCCTCTTAAAAACAACATGGCAGCACAACTTAGGTTCGGAAAGTTTCATTTGAAGGAGCCGCAAGACTCCTGGGACAAAGGTCCAAACTTCCAGACCAAAGGACAGATGTTTACCCACAATGCACTGCTGTCAACGTAGTGGTGGAGGGCTGATGGTTTGGGCTCCTTGCATAAGGTGACCAGACTTCTTAAATTAAATCTGGGGACATTTCCAACTCAGAGACAAAAAATCTGGTGTATTTTAACATGTTACTAGTTAACCTCCATAAGTAAACACTTGATTCAACAACTGGTTTAGAGATCACGGTGGTTTGAGTATTCTCCCATTAATCAGTGGATTCATTCATGAAGAAACAGAAACAGCACTGGGTGAACGAATGTAGTTCTGCGAGGCCTCCCGTGTCTGAAGATCCATCAGCCATGGTACCATGGAGGTCTGGATAAAGCAGAAGCCTCAATGAACTGAAGCAATGATGGAAAGAAGAGTGGGCCAAACTCCTCCACAACCATGAAAGAGACTGATGAAGTCCTACAGAAAACCACTGAGGGTTCTGCTGCTGGAGGAGGTTCTGGATCAGGGGCTGGAACCGGTTTTTCACGTTTTGACTTCAAGTTGAAAAACATTAAAATTTTGTTTCAGGTCAGAAATCCGTCAGTCAACATGAGTCCAAAACACGTTGTCTTCAAGAAGGTGTCCAGAGACAAGTCTGTAAGTCATCCATCCACCTGTCCATCTGTCCATCCATCCACACTAACCCTGATGTGATGCCCTCTGTTCTGTCTTACAGGTGGCGGTTTACATGGCCAAGAGGGACTTTGTAGACCACTGTGACTTTGTGGATCCAGTTGGTAAGTCTTGTTACGGTCGATAGTTGTTGTTGGTTTTTGTTTGAGTGTGGACTGGAGGTTTCTGTTTAGTTGACTTCAGATGTCAAAAATGGAGACAATGTCCTCCTTAAATGGTTCAAATTCGTCTCTGCAACTGTTCAGAAGATCCTGAGATGTTTCTGCAGAAGAGTCACAACCAAAACCAGCAGGGAACAAACAGTCTTTCAGCCCTGCTGGTCCTCAGCAGCTTATCTTCTGCTTTCACCAGAAACATCTGTTTGTGTTTTCTGCACATGCCCGGTGGGAGTAGATTAGACGATCCACGTTGAAATCGTTGTGTGATGTGGACACTTCCTGTTTCCTGTTTGACAGACGGAGTGATTGTGATTGACCCCATGCAGCTCAAAGGAAAGAAAGGTGAGTCTGTGGCTCCTCCCACCTCAGTCTCAGGACTCCCATCAGGGTTTTTGAACCAGATTTAACGTGACGGTTTCATCATGCTACTGTTTGTCGAATCGCCTCGGTTCCATCCAGGATCACATGGTCCACTGGATCCAGAATCTGGTAGTCAATTCTTGCACTGCGTCTCCCCTCACACGGTTCTGTTTTGTCTCGGGCAGTGTACGTGATGCTGTCATGTACGTTCCGCTATGGCCGCCAAGACATGGACGTGATGGGCGTGGCCTTCAGGAGGGACCTGTTTGTGGTGACCCGTCAGGTGTTTCCAGAACTGCAGGACAAAGAACAGCTGACCCACACCAAGATCCAGCAGAAGCTGCTGCGCAAACTGGGAGACAACGCTTACCCCTTCTTCTTCGAGGTGAGGGAAGAGCTCATCCCAGACCAGGGTCTAATCCAAGACCAGGGTCTAATCCAAGACCACGTTCTGATCCATGTCTGAGATTTATTTCAAGGTCCAGCTTGGACTTTGGTCTGACCCAGATCAGTTTGTCTGCAGTTTTCAAAATAAGTCTTTTTTTTTTTTTTTCAGTTTCCAGACAACCTGCCGTGTTCCGTCAGTCTTCAGCCCGGTCCCACTGATGAGGGGAAGGTACCAGAAGCATCCATCCATCCATCCATCCATCCATCCATCCATCTATCCATCCGTTCATCCATCCATCCATCCATCCATCAGTCCATCCATCTGTCAATCCATCCATCAGTCCATCCATCTGTCAATCCATCCCTTCATCCAACCATTCATCCATCCATCCATTCATCCATCCATCCACCTATCCATCCATCTGTCAGTCCATCCTTTTGTCCATCCATCTGTTCATCCATCTGTCAATCCACCCATTCATCCAACCATTCATCCATCCATTCATACATCTATCCTTGCATTCATTTGTCCATCTATCATCCATGTATTTATGCATTTGTTCATCAATCCATCCATCTATCCATTCATTCAACTATCCATTCATCCATCCATTTATTCATCCATCCATTCATCTGTCCATCCATCCATCCATCCATCCATCCATCCATCCATCCATCTATCATTCGTTCATCTATCCATTTATTCATCCATCCATCCATTTATGCATCTGTTCATCCATCCATCCATCCATCCACCTGTTGTGTGTTTGTGTTGAGCAGAAATGTGCTGTTGAGTTCGAGGTTAAAGCTTTCTGTGGAGAGAATCAGGAGGAGAAGATCGACAAGCAGTGAGTGTAACTCAGTTTATCTGGACCTGGATCCAGTTTGGCAAACCTTAACCAAGTCCATCAGTGTTGTCTCGTGTCCTCTATGTCTTCTGTCCCCCGTCTGCAGAAGTTCAGTTCGTCTGACCATCCGAAAAATCCAGTTCAGTCCTGAGAACACCGAGGTGGTTCCAGTGGCAGACATGACCTTTGAGTTCCTGATGTCTGAAAAACCTCTTCGTGTGAAGCTCAGCCTGCCCAAAGAGGTTAGAGTGGACCTGGTTCTGGACTGGTCCAGAATCCAAGGTTCTTTAGGGGGGGTCCTTGCCTTGGGTGGATTTCTGACCTTATCGTCCATTTCCACATCTTCTATTTCTACATGGTTTCTATTGGTCCTGTTCTTCATCCCAGCTTCATTTATTGAGTTAACATGTTTGAACCAAAGGTGACTGGCCACAGGTGAGACTCACCTGTGTTCATATTTGTCATTATATAGTATGTTTTATTTTATCAAGGTATGTAATTGATTAACTTATCAGACAGATAAATATATTCCTTGTTTGCTGTAAGTTGCATGTCGTCCCCTCAGAACTAGAAGCACTGACTTTACAGTCAGACTTTAATAATTACAGGTGATGAGCTTGACTACACCTTGGTGATATTATAGTTTTTGATTTAAAGACTCAGGTCCTGAAGATTCTTCCATAATTTACATCTTACATCCGAAAACATCCCCAGGTGTCACGGCTAACAACTAGGCCTGTCACGATAAACAATAAATCAATTAATCGCATGATAAATGAAAATGATCAACCTTGTTTTCATTTATCAGCTTTATCATGTCTCTCTCTTTCTACTGAAGACACTGGATGACAAAAGACTCAACTCCGGTTCTTCACTGACCCCTTACTTTCTCTTTTCTCTTTAAAATCAATTTAACGATCCAAAATCACATTTTTGTATTGTTAAAAGCAGCTAAGCTGAGAAGCTAAGCTACAAGCTAAGCTAAAAGGCCGAACTCTGGAAAAAAACCTCCGTCTTGTCGAAGCTCCAAAATTCAGGGTTGAAACCCGTGCCTTTGTGTAAAAAGTTGTTTTTTTCTGCGAAACAAAGCTGAGAACTTGTTTACTGATTTTTTTTATTTTTATTAAAAGCTTTGTGTGACAAATGCTATGCTAAAGAGCTCAAACCACACCGAGCGTCTGCCATTTTGAGAACTGAAAAAAAGGAAGGACAGACAGCCCATGTCACGTCAAGGGGCCTCCCTCCCATTTTTCTTAAAGAGACACGCCGCTTGCTCCCTCACTATCTATCCTTCGGTTCAAACCATCTTATACTGCCATCCAGTGGTCAAAAAAGGTCCTACACGCAAAACAATTTAACCAACATTTCTTCTTAAATTTAACAATATTATCGTTTATCGCAATAATTTCTGAGACAATTAATCGCCCAGCAAAATTTGTTATTGTGACAGGTCTATTAACATCCGTCCTGTCTCTATGTCTGCAGACGTTTTACCACGGAGAGCCGGTCAAAGCTAACGTTGAAATCAACAACTCATCCAGCAGGAACATCAAGGACATCAGCTTGTCAGGTGACGTCCTACACATCTGTCCACACCTGTCTACTCTCACCTACATCAGCTCACATCTGTCATGGACTTCCGGTTGCTTGGGAGTGGACACTTAAAAATATGCTCTGCTCTGCTCAGAGAGAATTTAACAAACTTTAAACATTTTATACGATTTGCACTTACTACAGTATAAACAGTTTTTCTGCTCCTTAAACTTTTTGTTAGTGTTCGTATGCTGGTCGTTTGTTTCATCGACCCGTTCATATTTCAAATGATGTTTCAAAAAGTTTTCTTCCTTGTTATATCACATTTAAAATCAGTTTCCTCCCCTTGGCAATTCGGAACCACAGGCGCGCAGTGTATCGACCCAAAGTAAGCCTAAACCTCCAGTTCACCATCAGTCTGTTCACGTTTCGAATTTTTCAAAAGATTCTTCTCCCATTAAAAAAAGTTTCCAACCAGTTTCCTCCACTTAGCTGCTCTGAACCTCAGCCCCACTAGGTGACAGTCCAAAGAAAAACTAAAACTAAGCCCTCGGTCAACCGCCGACTCGTTCAACTTTCAAATCGGTTTTCCATGCTTAGTGAGAAGCCCGCCGAGGAGCAGACTCTCGTTGTTGGCCGCTCCAGAGACTGAAATGTGGCACCTGCGACTCAAACCACAGTCGCATGCATTCCAGGGGCCAGAGGAGGCAACACTGAATCCCACCTGAAACTACTGGCTAAGGCGAAATACAATAAAATTATCATTCACGTCGGCGAAAATGACTCTCGGCTACGCAAATCAGAGATCAATAAAATCAATGTTGCTTCAGTGTGCAACTTCGCAAAAACTATGTCTGACTGTAGTTTTCTCTGATCCTCTCTCCAAACTGTCCAACGATGACATGTTTAGCCGTATGTCGGCTTTCAGCTGCTGGGTGTCCAGGTGGTGCTCTGACAACAGCGTAGGATTTGTAGACAACTGGAGTGCATTTTGGAGAAAACCCAGTCTGATGCGGAGAGATGGAATCCATCCCACCTTATGTGGAGCAGCACTATCATTAAATGTGGATTATTGAACATCAGATCTGTTTTCTCTAAATCCCTGTTAGTTAATGACCTGATAACTGATCATCATGTTGATTTATTGTGTCTGACAGAAACTTGGCTACAACAGGAGGATTTTGTTAGTATAAATGAATCCACTCCTGTTAACTATTTAAATTTTCATGTTCCTAGAACAACTGGTCAGGCAGAGGTGTAGCTTTTATTTTTCAGTCTGGATTATTAATTAATACTAAACCAATTAGTAGTTATAATACTTTTGAGTCGCTGTCTCTAAGTCTGTCCCATCCTAAATGGAAAATGGAACGGCCACCGTCACTAGTTGTTATATATCGTTCATCAGGCTCCTATGCTCAGTTTTTGTCTGAATTCTCAGAATTCTTAACTGACTTACTTAAATACTGATAAAATCATAATAATGGGTGATTTCAATATTCATGTAGATGTTGAAAGTGATAGCTTAAGCATAGCCTTTAATAATTTAACTGAGTCAATTGGTTTCACCCAAAACGTCCGAACACCCACTCACTCTCATCATCACGCCCTTGACCTGGTTCTGACCTATGGCATCGAGATTAATAACTTAGTAATATTTCCTCAAAATCCTATTCTGTCTGACCATTTTTTAATAACCTTTGAGTTTACATTAAATGACTACACAGTCACTGAGAGTAAATTTCATCTCAGCAGGTGCTTATCAGAAAACGCTGTAAACAAATTTAAACAATCTCTTCCATCAATGTTTCCTCTGTC